AATACCATTACTACCCTTTCATCAACGACGCTTTATTTTTAAATATCATCTTGTACTAACATGGTTTTAATAATAATAACAATAATAATAACAACAACAACAACAACAACAACAACAAAATAAACTACAGAGTATTATTTATTGTATATATTACGTATGAGAGATGCTGGAAAATTATCTCCGCATCGGATTTCTACTACAGCTACTACTAATACTACTGTCACTATTACTACTACTACTATTACTACGGTAGGGCAGGTCGATTTTTGAACCGTGGTATTGCACTCAATTTAAAAGTTGGGGTTTGACATAATAAATAATGACACAAAATCTTTTTTCCAAATCGCTACCGTTTCTTTTTCTTTCTTTTTCTTTCTTTCTTTCTTTTTTTTTTTTTTTTTTTTTTTTAGACGAGTTTAAAGATTAAGTTTAGGTTCAACAAAATCGTAGCGCTGGAATTTAATTCCGGTGATCAGTGAAAGCGTTATAGGGCACAGCCTTATAAAATTTATAGTTTACTGAAGTTTTACAAATTGTTCATGGACAAAATGCATTGCACAAGCACATTGTCATTAAATCATTGTACCATCAAATAAGACCTTTATTTACTTCAAAGTGAAATTATGCTGAACCATTTCGCTATATAATTGTGCAATATGTGTTACAATTCAGTAGTTTTAGTGTAATTTTCAATAAACAATTGAAGTTTAAAAACATTTTGTCTTATAATTTGTGCCCAGCAATATTATGGTGTTGTATTTTTTTTTGTTTTTATTAATTATGATCTTAAAAATGATCAAACAAATCTTATTCACTGAGTAGCCTTTTTTAATCTTTTACAACTTTTTGGCACAGTTTTTAGTTATCGAATACAGTAAAAAAATCCATATTTTGTTTGTGGTGATTCATAATTAGAATTCTGTTTGAATATATCTTCCATTCAATGTATCTATTACAAAAAATATTGAAGTCAATTTGTAAGCCACAACCTGCGTAAATTAAATATTTCTGTACATTTTTCAGACAATGTTTAAAAGTAAATGCTCAAAAATTGTTAAAAGCTATGCATTTAATTTTTGGTGTTAGTATTTATCATATCAGATCCCAGCTTTTACACTGAGTGCAATATTGATTCTTTAAAAACAGTAAAAAAATCAAACTGCTCTACAACTGCAGTCATTACTACGAGAAACGTTCCGAAAGAAAGACCTAATTATTTCTGTAGAAACAATAGACAAAAGCATCACACCAACGTTCTTAGTAACCTAGTCTAGGTTACAGGGAACGATATATACCTGAAGAAGGCCGGAGGACACAACGGCCGAAATGTTGTTATAACAACAATAAAGATAAGGACAATGGTCCGAATAGAAATAATGTTAACTCCTCATTCCAGAAAGTAAGACAGACGCATTGTCTCTTTTACCAATTCTAAACCAATACGTTTTTTATTATGTCATTTTGTATTGATGTGTTTTTTAATAATAAAAACAGATTAAACTCTGCAATTAATATATACTAGATTACTCATGCCGTAAAAAATGACGGCGGTTGTCAGAAAGCTTTAATAGCGAGATGCAATGAAACAAGACTCTTGAAATAATGAATTGAGATTCAATAAAGCAAAAATAAAGAATTCACACCTAAAATAGTGACCAATGAACTGTTTAATTAATCCTTTCCCTTTATATGTTCGAGATGTCCAATGGTATCTAAGATTCATTGATTATTCCTGGTATTATTTAAATCACTTTTTGCTCAATATATTTTCCCGTTAAAAGTTTTGTTTAATATAACATTGAAATAGAAATATCTGTCGGAAGAAAAAGAATAAAAACAGAATGTCAAAGAAGACAACATCAAAACCTATTTCAAAACAAGTTAAAGCAAAGCGATCACTTAATAAACAAAGGTCTCTGAGTGCCTCACATGAACGGCTTGAATAAATTTGACTGCAATCTTTTTTGATTGCAGTCAAATTTATTCACAAGAGTAAAGAAAACTTTTAATTAAACGGTTCGTTTTGCTCGGGAAATAATTTTGACAAATTCTTTTATTTGTATAGATTATTAAAACGACTAGGGGTAGTAATCTCTCATAAGTTGTTTTACCTACCTTTCCACAACATATGGGACAGGAAATATATTAAAAAAAATACACATTGATAATTATTGAAGTGTTTGATAATAATAATTGTTTCAGATTCCTTTCGTATGCAAAACATATAAGGAATTATATGTTTTATATACTTGAAGAAACTAAAAATTATCGACGGAAAATCTCACTAAATAATACAATTGTTTCTACGAGGAACACTCTGAAAGTAATGCCTCCAATTATTTATGCGGAAACAGCAACAGGTATGGACAACATACCAACGCTGTTGGATAGTGAGGGTTTTAAAGTAGAAACCATTGTTTTTTCAATGAAGTTACCACTACTGATTGTGCCTTTTCGAGACATATACTACAATCTGTTTGTTCGCCATAGACGTCAATGAATCTGAATGATGTGTGATTTTTCCGCACGAAGGAATTCAGTGAAACGTTTTAGCATCGTATGCACTATCATGTCATATGTCATTATACCAGGATTCTATCGGTAACAAAGCAAAAGAACACTATGGGTTATTTTATGGAAGGTTCAACCTCTGCTGCCATTATACCAACATCCGCCGTGTGCACCATTATTACTTTTGGAGCGATCCTGATAGATGTCGTCGAAGAAGGGGGTATAATTTTTCATGTCTTACGATCAATTCACGCAGATTACCGAAGTTGAGCTAGAGTCAGCCTGATCAGTATTTATATGGGTGACCGCTTAGGAATACCATAGATTTTACTCAACTTGATAATGACTTACGAAATGCTACCCGGTATTTTGGGCGACTTAAGGGGTAGAAATCGCTTCCTCTCAGACTCGGAGAATGTTTCTTTATTTGGTGGCGAGACGCGGGAAAAGTTGGGTAGATGACCAGTCGATCTGTCCAAATTAATGGAACTACCATCATCATCATCATCATCAATCCCATGGTCGTATAAATTTGCATTTGTGAGCACTTGGCCATTTCCCTCCACATATCCGGGTTGAAAGCTGAAGAACGGTTCATTCATGCGGAGACCTGGCGAAGCCTATCCCACTCCAGGCCTAATTACAGTCAATGTTCACCAACTTGAAGGTTCGCCTTGGTCACGGACATGTACCCGTTGATTCCATCGAGGGAAAAACCTGCGTTCTGGCAGGTGACCAGTGTAGGGGGCCCTTCGCCCAAATAGCTGCCAGTTTGCCCATCCTTTACTGTAGAATTCATAAATGGTTTCACTAGTTACTTTGTGTCCTGCTCAGGACTTAGAAGATAAAGAGGGCAAATTGCTATTTTAAAGAATTTACCGATCTTCTTGATTTATGGGAAACGAACACAGATGTGAGAATGTGTAACTGATTCTATTCTGGTTTGCGCAGCAGAATGTCCTCCCGATCTTCGATAAAAGTCCTGTCGATAGAGTTAGTCGAGATTAAGAATTTTCGGTTTTATGTGCAAAACAAGATAATTAAAAATTCAGTCGCAGATTGTGTCAAGATTCCAGCGTGTTTACTAACTCGAAATTATAACCATTTCTATTTTGGTTGAAGCAGTAGCATGCTCCCCACCCCGATCTTCTATAATAGTCCTAGGATTAGAATCTTCGGATTTATGTAAGATTAGCTTAAAAGCCATCCTATCGGGCGGTATTTAAACAAGCTCTTGCGGAGAGTTCTTGATTGGGCCTTTAACACAATAGGTAAGGGGGAATAGATGCGATAGGCAACAATAAACTACAGAACTCAAAACTAATCGCTGCATTTAAGTATTGCATTAATATTTAGGCTTATCTTTTTAAAAGTTCAACGATAATTCTTCTTCCACCACTTAATTTGGTGTACGTAGGTCCTTACTTTCCATACCAACAATTATTTTTATTTCATTTTGCTGGATTTCGCAATTAGTTTCGATTATTCTCAAATTTATTTCCAAAATTGTTATCGTATAAAAAAAATTGTTACAAAAAATCACATAAAAAAATCGTCGAAAACAAACACAATAATCAAAACTTGGGAATCCAAAATTTCACGATTGCAGGTCCGGATCCGGCCTGGAATGTCTTTAATTTGTTCACAGAATCGGCCTGATCCCAAAATAGTAGGATATGTTGGGCTACGGCGTCTAGGAGTAAAGTTGTAAATGTAATACACAGTGACACACTGACCTTCGCATTTATTATATAGAAGAAGACGACTGAGACTTGTGCTCCTTTAATTGAAAATGTGTGACACAGTGACACACTGTTATTCGCATTAATCATATAGATGCTGATGATGATTATTTTTTATAATATTTCCCTTACATTTTAACGAAAACACCAAACCGAACCTTCTTGAAATACTTTCCAAGCATAAATGTGTATATAATTTCATACGCTATCAACTGGTGGGCCGCAATGATTGTTTCAATTTCAAATGCAGTTTTGAAAAACGGAATTTGATATTAGAAATGGGAGAAGTTTTATATTTTCTTTCCTCAATTACGTTTGATATCCTCATGGCGTGGGTACCCTTCTAAGTAATGTATGTAATTGTCTTATTTGAAAATAGGCAACAGACAAGATCATGAGCTGAAAATGGAGACAAATGGGGTTAGCATGTGTTCGTATGCACCAATTGCAAAGACAAAGTAGCATAGGTACCATATATATATATATATATATATATATATATTAAAACATATATTGTTAAATATAACAGACAACGAATGTCTATTATGTTTAATCACAAACCGTTCTAAACTCCGTATATTTGCTTTAATTTCGGGAGAGAATAAAGCCAAAAATTGTCCAATATTTGGATATTTTTTATTAATCCGCTCCTTGATCTAAGCTTTCGGATCAAATGAGCCATCTTCAGGGTGGTTATACGGACATTTAAACAAAGATATTCATCATCAAAGATGATATTCTGTTATG